GGATAGAGGGCAGGGGAGTTCGGGGTGGTGGGCGGGGGTGTAAATAGGGGTCGGGGCGGTCAGAGGGTGGGGAACGGGTTGAATGGGGACAGGGGTCCCCAGGGGGCAGTCAGGAAGGAGGGGAGGTTGGATGGGATGGCGGGGGGCAGTCGAGGCAGGGGTTCCGGAGGCAGTCAGGGGACAGGGAGAAGGGGTGGTTGGATGGGGCAAGGGTCCTGGGGGGGGGCCGTGAGGGAACGGGGGGTTGGATGGGGCAAGGGTCCGGGGGGGGGGGCATGACCCCCTCCCCTAACCGGCCCTCCATACAATTTCCGAAACCTGATGCGGCCCTCAGGCCAAAAAGTTTGCCCGCCCCTGAACTAGATTCTGCCACAGTTAGTTTCCACTTGGATAAAGCCTTCTTCGATCTTTAAGCAACAAAGAACTGTCCATCACGGTTTGCTGCCATAAAAAGCTACCACCCAAATATCATTGGGTCAGGGGTGGCCAACTTGAGCCTGAGAAGGAGCCAAAATTTACCAATTTACATTGCCAAAGAGCCACAGTAATACGTCAGCAGCCCCACCGATCAGCGCCTCCCTCTCTGCCCCCACACCTCCCGATCAGCTGTTTCGTGGTGTGCAGGAGGCTCTGGGAGGGAGGGGGAGAAGCGAGGGCACTGCAGGCTATGGGGAGAGGGGTGGGAAGGGGTGGAGTGGGGACAGGGCCTGTGGCAGAGCCAGGGGTTGAGCAGTGAGCACACCCCGACACATTGGAAAGTTGGCGCCTATAGCTCCAGCCCCGGAGTTGTTGCCTATACAAGCATCCGCATATTAACTTCTGAAGAGCAATATGTGGCTCCGGAGCCACAGGTTGGCCACCCCTGCATTGGGTTATCGTGCCACTTACTATGTGTGTCTTCTGAAATCAAGGAGACATACCCGCACTAGCTCTGATAAATCTAGTGTACTAGAAATAATAGAATGCAGGCAAAGTGACACAAGAGGTGGGGGAGATCTGGACATAATGGAGGGGAGGAGAGTTGGAAGAAATACATACAGAGCCTCTTAGTTATTAGGTCTTCCCACTTTTGTAATGATTTGAAATAACTAACTGGAATGTGCTGTCTGACTTTGCTGTGAGGCTTGTGTGCCTCGTTCTACCCTTTCCAGTTGCTCTAACACTTTCCACATAACCTGGCTGGATTTTTTTCCCCTTACCAAGATGCATGTTCCAGTCATCTGCTTGGGCAGTCAGCAGCTTCAGGTAGCTGTTTATGATGGGTAAAAAAATTGACCCAGGGAGGTTAAAAATAATATATTTCTTAGTGGATGGAGACTTCCTCAGATATCAAAAGCGTCTCAGGTTCTTTATTATTGCTTAAAGCGATTTACTACAATCACATGAATATTGCCACTCTTAAGCAGCAGTGGAATCTCAATATAGAGATGTCAGGGAAACTGGGTAGGGGCCACATCCTATTCTGGATTGCCTTGCTTAGTTGTCACTAAGCTTTCTATTGAAAAATTATGATCATTGCAGTGGTTCTCATGGATTTGAGAGATGTCAAGATTCCTGGCTTTTTTTAAAATAAACAAAAACAAAACTACTTGCCTCAGTCATAAACACAGATTGTTTCCCTGTGGCCATTCAAAGAAAAAATGCAAGTGGCTATCCTAGCTGCAATGAATTCCCTCTTAACACTGTTCCTTGCCTCCATAGGAAGTCTCCACAGGGAAATTCTTAAAGGTTTCTACTAAGTGATGTGAGTTATTGTAACTTGCTGACTGCTCCTACTGTTGTTCTTTGTTTGATGGACTTGCATTTCCTGTTCATTATCCATAGGTGCTACCGGTAGGTTTTGAACTTCCAGCTGGCACTCCATCCAGCGAACAGCTGCCACCCTTTCCAGGACCTTCACTAACTCAGGTGCTACATGACTTGGCAGATTCTGTCTGTTACTTCTCCTTTCTCTTTCAAAGAGCATGTTCCAATTAAACTCTCCATTGCATGGTCTTGGCTTCTTCACTTTCTCTTTTGACTGAGTAACCCCTTCTGTGTAGTAGTGACCAGAGTCACTTGTGCACTGGAAAGGCAGCAGACTTTCCCTTTGGGTTACTGGACCTTAATGTTTGAACTCTGGGTGCAATGACTCAAGCTTATGTTTTTACTTCTATTTTGAGCTTGAGGGAGAGCTTCTTAAAAGCCCTTGTTTTACAGACAAGTGTATTCAGTGTTGAACAGTAGCTATGTTTCAAAGTCAGTTATGTGCCAAATATGTCTTCATAACCATATTTGCAAGGCAACAATAATCACTGGGTCTTTGAGTGCTGGTGTTGCTAGCTACACCACCTGCAGAGCTCAAGGGGTGAGACTGAAGGTGGTGTATTCCATAAGATGTAGCTATTTCAAACATGCATTTCATAAACTAAGTACAGAAACTTCTTTCAGCAAATCCCAGTGTTGGCAGAAAACACACTGGGAATGGCCAGCCCTGAGGAGGACAGCGAGCTAAAGCAAAATTAGTAAATTAACTTTCCCAGTGATGCTGAAATCCTCTTTCCAGTGGATACATGAATTAGTTCTATGTAAATGAAGAGAGTCATGAAACTTAACTTCGGAAGTATTACACACACCTGTCCTATGATTAGAATAAAAGGAGTATCTGGGAGCAAAGTTCTAGCTCTGCAGGGAGCAATAAATATTGCAATACCCATCTAGCTGTTGAAAACCCAAGATTGCTGGCTATGAGAACTCAGTGAGTTTTTAATAGTCTCCTTTTCCTAGTCTAGCAGAGTTGGTGCAATTCTATAAATCTTCTAATGTTGATTAAAGATTATAGTTCAAGCAAACTGTTGGGACCTGCATTTGGCCACCTTCTGGTGTATAGATAGCTGAGAACTTCCAGGGAGACTGGTGGATGTTTTGCCTTGTCGGTGAACTTTTGAGGCTGTTACTTATTGCCTTAAAGACCAAGACAAATCTTTCTGACTGACAACTGCCACTTCCTTCTGGAAAATAGAGGAAAATTCATAGAAGGGGTTATGGAACTCAAGAGAAAATAGAAAAAAAGCAGTCAAGATCTGCAATGAAATAAGAAAGATTTCTAGATACCTTAAATTTGCTGTGCAATGAGGTGGTATGGAGAAAAATTAAGCATATCTTTAAAGAAGAAACATACAATATATGATGAAAGAAAAGCTAAAAATAAAAGCAGTGAAGATGGAGACTTGTAAGCAGTCTGTATCCTGTTCTTAATGTGTTCTAGAAACAGCATGGTTAGTGTCAGAAGGTTATTTACGGAATAAACACAAACTGGACTTTTCTTCCAGTGAACTTTGCCTGTAAATGTAAACCCCATTTCTCAGATTTAGATTGATAAAGGAGGAGGTATTATGTGTTAAAGCAGGCATCTGGTAATACCTGCTTTAAAGCTGCAAAACCATTTCCGTTATTAACCTAATGTTTTTTACACACACCTTTCTGAAGTATTTACTTTTTTGAAGTGAAATTTTCCATTTGTGGTTTGTGCCAAAGATGACCTATTTTTGGAATATTTAAGCAAAATCCTTTCAGCCAAATTTGAGTTATGGATATGAAACAATACTGCCTTTTTAAAGCCATTGTTTTATTTTTTTTATTTTTATATATATAAAAATAAAATTCAGGTTAGAAGTACTTTAAAAGTTTTATAGCCAAAATGGCTATAATATGGAACTTTATTGCCTTGTGAGCTATTGCCAGTGGCTGGATGAGCAGGGAATGAGAATTCACCTCTGCGTGTTCTCAGAGATATCAGCTAAGACTTTTATTGGAGCCTGATGGAAGCTTTGCCTGTTGGCATCACAGTATGTTCTCCCTGCTCAGCCTGACGTGCTCAAGGGCTGTAGGTTTCAGGCTTCTTCTGAGAAAAGTAACACAAAACGGCCCTTCTAACTCATCTTGTTCCCTTTCATGCCATGTATTGGAGAGGAGCATGTACCCAGCAAAGGGAATTTACTTTTGTGTGTGTCATACTAGTTAAATCAATGTGATATAAATGTCAGTTCGTAAATGAAACCATTTAAATGTGCATGTCAAGCATAAAGCCGTAATCTTAAAGAAAAAAAGGTTTGCACTATGTAGTATAACCTTAATATTAAATCCCTTGACACTGTGATGTCATCTTAGCTGTTGCGCGATTTCTGAAAGCTGGGTTGACATACTGGAGGTTATATTTGTTCTTGCAAGATACCATTTGGGTAGGTTTTATGCTTCCAAACACATGAAAAGTAGAATTACCCAAGTTATAGAATTCTTTGGTTTCAAAGAGTAGAAGTAGCGTGGTGGGGTATGAGCCGCTCCCTTACTAGTGGTCATGCATTGCCCAGGGCTTTAACTATTGTCTTTGAAATCTTCCTGTCAGTTCCTTCTTGATTGTGGTAAGCAAAAGAGCTCCCTTCATGAACTGTGGCTATTCAGACACTGTTCTGGCTCTTCAGCCCATCTAGTGACACATTGTTTTGGAATTCTCTTAGTGTCCCTTCCTGACTGCCATTAAAGTCTACATTCCTTCCTTTTATTGTGATGTTTAAATTTTATTTTCAGGCCCCCTCTAACCAGTGAGCACTGATAGTCATCAGAGACACCAGAAGATCCATGACCTGTTCTAGTCTTTGTTTAGGCATTTACATACTTTGTCTTGTACATCGGCTTGCAGCACTTTGATGTCATGCATACAATTTTTTTATGAAGACTTTTTGGTATTGGCTCCTTTTGCTTTCTTAAAATGTTTTCCCAAAGGACTATGGTTAAAGGTAATCATGATCTGTTGCCCAGGCGGGGAGTGCACATATTCATCTAATCTAACAGGATGATCAAGGAAGCCACTCTGGAAGCAGTTGAAATATCCCTGTATCATCACTGGGATCACTAGGGCTCATGATAAACTGTCAAAGTCACAGCTTGTCTCTAACAAACAAATGGAGCATATAGGAGTCATGCTAAATATAGTTCAACTCAAAGCCTTCCTGCCCCATGTCAGAAAGAATCCAGGACCCCACCAGTTCAGCAGAAAGGATGAGGAATAGCCAGCACCTGACAACTTGGACCATGGTAACAGTGCATTCATAAAACAGCAACGAAGAGTCCTGTGGCACCTTGTAGACTAACAGATGTATTGGAGCATAAGCTTTCGTGGGTGAATACGCACCTCGTCAGATGCAGCCTGATAGAACTTCGTCAGACATCATAATAGCCTGATAGAGAGAACTTGAGTGGATACCAAAATATTAATGGAAGCAAGCAATACAGGGGATTTGTACTACATTTTGCAGAAGAATGATTTCTTTGGCTTGGGATGGGATTTGGCAGTCTCAATGGAGGCTGATAGGAAGGTTCTCTTGGTCTGTAATACAGCCTCAGAGTAGACTTTGGGGAATTCATTATGTTTCAGCCTGTCTGAATCAGCCTTTGTTTTCTATCAGCCTCAAATTTTCGCCCCTCTGTGTTTTCTTCCAGTGTAGGGTGTTAGAAAATAAGGAGGTCAGTGTGGGTGACTGGGAAGAAGAGTCCATTTGGGGTCCAGTGTGTCAGTGGTCCAGGCTAATGTAGAATGTACCTCATGCCCCAGTGGGCAGAGAGCTGAACGTAGTTTACCGGATGAGGGATTTACATTAGAGGATGTGTGGCGAGCTTCATGGTTCACAGAGAAAGTGTCAAATAATTATCTTGTCTCAGATCCCACTCAGTGTCAACCCGGGTTTGATTTATTGCAAAGGCAATGGAGCCTTCTGAACCAGTTGCATACCGGACATGGAATTTGTGATGCAGTAGAATTTCAGTGGCATTTTAAAGACAGTCCACTACATCAATGTGGGCAGCCACAAACCATGACACACGTTGAGGACTGCAAAATGACTCAACTTCCTGTAGGTCTTCATGCCTTGAACATCGTTGATAAGAACACTGTGGCTTGGCTTGACCGGATCGCATACACCAAATAAGTAAACCTAGGCTGAAGATCGGGTTCCAGGTATGATGGCTGTGTGAGTTGGACCAGAGATGACCTGTGAAAGTCCTAGGAAGGCAAATGAAAATGTGTTTTGGGATTTCTGCATCTGCAGCCTTGTCAACGGGAGTGTTCTGGTCTCCCAGGACAAGTCTGAAGTATTTCACCACCACTGCTGACAAGATGTCAGTGAGCAACTTTAAGAATCCTTTTATCTATGATGGTCTGTAAATAAGCCTAAAATCTATGTTGGCTTTGGCTCTTGTCTCTGGCAGATGACTGAATTCAAATGAAGTTGTCTTACCCGAGGCACTTCTGAGCCATTCAGTACCTGTGAACTAAAGTTTGCAACAAGAAATGACCTTCTGTAAGAATGACTTTAGCTCAGAGGGAGAACAAGCTTCAGGTCCTAATAACTTATCCACCTTATACCAGAGTTAACAAGAATAGTGATGCTGTAGACTTGCCAGAGATTCCTTTCCAAGGTGGCGTCAGATTTCCACCTTAATGAGCCCCTCATTCTGCCAACTTTTTTCCACTTACTATGTGCCCATCCCAGTATGGCCTTTATCTAGGCACTCAAAATTAAAAGGTCTTTTTTTGTGACACTAATTCTGTGGATAATGCCGTTACTCAAAAGATTAGTGTCTGTGACTGATGTGTTGCGTTTCTCATTGCTTATGATCTGGCTGGCTTATTTAGTCCAAGACAGGACAGTCTCTGATGTCTGCCTCAGGAATGTTTCTCACTCAGATATGTGCAAGGCAGCTACATGGTCCTCCATTTATATGTTTACAAAAATCGATTATTTGGATCCTAGTCTCTGTGGAGAGAGATTCTTGATTGTCTTGCATAATCTGTTTCTGAACTAGAGTCCAAACTTTCTTGCCTTTTGAATTTTTTTTTATTTTGGATGTCCTCTTTAAGAAGTCTATCTTAAGACACCACCTCAGGCTGTTGAAATGTTAAACCTGCTACTTCTGGAGGTATCTCCCCATTTTTTTTTTTTAAGCAGCACCCTGTTCATCTACATAGTTGCCTTTGGCATAGCTCTTGTCTCAATTTGCAATGTAACTGAAACTTTTGTTTAGAGATAACCCTTGAGCTACTTTCACTCCTGCCCAGATGGTATCTTTAGAAGAAGGCAAATTAATTAACCTGTAACCTGGTTTGGTGAGCTGTGTAGCACATACTACCTGTGAGGAACGTTTGGGATGGCCCATGCCATGAACCACTGCCCTTGGAAACCAAAAACATGAGAGCTCGGAGGCTCTTAAACATTCAGTGCGTTCTCAAGTTTGAGAATCCAAACACAATATCTTCAGAAAAACAGAGCTACGACTTAAATTTTCCTTCCTATTTTTTGGTTTAAACATGTAGCTTAATTTACTACCTGTATATGATGCAGGAAGCAGAGGTAATTGGAGGTATTGAAACTCTATTTTTTGCTATACAATTTTGCAACTTTAATATTAAGTAGCTTTTGATGTTAAATCTTGCCATGTGCATAGCTGGTGCCAAGGGACAGCTGCTTATTTTTAGCTTGTTTCTTCAGTCCCAGCAGCCTCTAGAAGATCTGGATGCTCAGTTGAGAAGAACCCTCAGTCCAGAGACTGTCCCAGTGACATCTGCTCCTGCCTGTGTAAGTTTGCAGTGTTGGTGTTTAAAGCCTCTATTTAGTTAAGAGTGCTTCCTTAAGTTTTTATGCTCTTGGATAGTTGCCTTCAGAAGCAGTGTGTCAAACTCTCTCTGGTCTTTGAAAATAAAAATGCTTTGATGCCTCAAAAGATAGTGAGTGCTGTGCAGGGAAACATAGTTTGCATGACTTACAAACTAGTAACTCTGGTAGGCTTTTTAATAGACTTTCTGGCCTGTTGCTAGAAGTACCCTGCTAAACAAACAAAAAAACATTCACTAAGAAACTGTGAGAGCCTTTCTGAGGATGGAGCAATATAGGAGATCAGAATAAAGTATGACGTGTGACTGTCTTCTGAATCTACAAGAAATGATTCTGATGTACTTGGGGCAAAAGGTGCAGCTTGTGCTGGATTTTGTATTCCCTCATGGCTGACTACCAAGTAATGTTATGGTCCTTAAGGAGCCATGCAGTAAGGGGTGGTTGCAAATTTTAAGATCTAATATGAAAATAAAACTAGTCATTTGGAAAGGAGGTACTATATTCAGATGAATGTAGGCTCCTACTACTACAGTAAATAAGAGCTTGTCTACATGGAGGGCGGTGGTGGTAGTGGTGGGGGGAATGACTGGAATACCTAGGGAGAAGTAGATATTCTGCACTAACTCCCTGAGTGGACACACTTTATTCCACACCAAGGGGTTGTCTACATGGGTACACCCAGGAAAACTAATCTGAATTTAAAGGTCTGAATTTAAAGTGAATTAGTTAAATTGCATTAAACCCCTGTGTGGACTGTCTCATTCAGAATGCATGTGGCCTTAATTCAAATAGGTGTTGCCCTTTAAACTTGGACCCTTAGCTATTTCATACCAACTTCCCCATGTAGATGGTACTAAAACTCCCTTAAGTTATCTAAAGGAGGAGGAGCTCTGCTGAACCATTGGAGATAAAATTTGAAAACACAAACATGTATCTTTATGCAAGATTCACTGAGATTACTTGTTACTTATGCCCATGGTCATTCCTTTATCCTTAAGTAAGATGGAAAAATATTAATATTGCAGGATGCTTTAGGTAGGATGTGGTAAGGATCAATGTAATAGCTAAAAGATTTTCTTTGTTTTTATAGCCTGTGCCAGCAATGGCTTCTACCACAGTTACTGGAGTGGTGTCTGCACCAGCACAGCCCCTGAAAGAAGGTATTTATGCTGACACTTGCCACCTCAGTCTTCTGAGGAATGTGAATGGACTTGCTGAGCAAGAGGATTTGATGTTAAATGGCTGTACTAAAACTGCAGGCTTTATTAGAGGAACTGGAAAGGCACTGGCTTTTGATGAATTAGACTAAAATTCTCTTACTGCAGGTTGAGAGGTGCAAGGGATATGCTAGCTTCTTTAATTTTTAAAACTCTCCAAAAATAAGCTAAATCAAGATTTACAAGGACTTTCCGCTAAACCTACTGCTAAGGAACAATATCAGGATTTGTAGAGTGAATGCCTCCTCTCTCTCATACTATATAGTCCGCAAGAGTGAGAAGACTATATTGCTAGTTTTGATCCTTCTGTGCCTTAACAAATCTTTAGGTATTTCCCTTCTTTCCACTGTGCGAAGAAATGGAAATCTTTGTATGAGCAGTGCTGAGGAAAAAGATATGCTTTCTGGTTTCATTTAGAGAAGTTGAGGAGCAGACCATGGACTTTCCAATCCTAATTTTATATCCAGCTGCTAAACAATTAATTATTGGACAGTTCTGTAAAAGGTTCCAGAATGTTTCAGGTATAAAGCACACACATTTCTGCGCCAAAAAAAAATAAAATAAAAAAAAAATGCTGTAGCTAGCTAGCTCACTTGCTGGCTTACACTAGCTTGATAATATATTCACTTGTAGACAAAGAGGTTTTGTGGGGGAAGATATATTCCAAACGTTCTCCTGCCCAGTTTAGTTCAACGAACTTCACTTACCTTTTTACGAGAGAAGAGTGCTGCTGTACTGTTAAAAGTATTTCAAAACTAGTTAGAAGAGCTAAGATTAAAAAAAATCAAATGTTGAGAATAATTTTTATTAATATACTCATTAATATACTGTTCTGTGAGATTTCTCTTGTGCAGTCAGTGTTTTATGGCACATCTTCAAGATTGTTTACAGTAGGAAAACAGTCACATGTAGGGCTGCCTGCAATAGATTTCCCCTGGAAAATTGCTTCCCTACTTGAGAATATGTTCTCCATCCTGCTGAAGTTTAGTAGAATCCTTTTAATTGGAACACCATGTTGGACCGTCTGCTGAATAAGGATGACAAAGCAATTTTTAAAATTTTGAATGCCAGATCCACAGTTGCACAACTGGTGTGATGGGTAGTAGTTGTATGCCCCCAATACTGGAACCAGGCCAGCCTTTGTTACAACTTACCACACACTCATGGTGATCCTGTTGCATCCCAGTTGCACGTATTGCTGGAGTGCAGAGGTGCTCAGTGCATGTTCTCCTTCCTCAGCCACAGCCCCCTACATCACAGGCTTTGAGAGTAGTTGTGTAGAGCCATTATGGCAACCCAAGAATTTCTTTCATTAGAGAGATCGCTAGGTAGCTAGTTCCACTAGTCCAACAGTGCAATGCAATTGGAGTGTGGGGGAGGGGAGTCCAAGAATCTGGCCCTGAAGATCTAAAATGAGAATATTATACTGACTAAAAATGATTCTCAGCATTTGATTTTTTTTCTTCTTTGTTCATTTCTGTATTAATATACTTATTCTAAATTTTATACTGGTTTAATGCTTGAGTAAAATCAACATTTGGCAGTGGATAAAAATACCTAAAGGTGCTGGCCTTAACGGAATTTGCCACTATTGTCCCATTTAAACAGCAGTCGGTATCATTCACTAGTAAGCTACATTACTTCCCTGAATGACATGCCAGTTAATTATACTTCCAGATTACATGTATTATATTTAAGTGCCATAATATGTTGAGTGGAATAACTATAGTGAAAACCAATTTGTCTTGAAATTGTGGTATGGCCTGGGGTATTACATAATGTTCCTATGGGTGCTGCGCTTCAGGCGCGCATGTGCCTTTGATAGGAGCCTTTTGGTAGCAGTGCCAGTTAGTTCCACACATGCACCCCAACTATCTTCATGCCCCATACTGAAGGTATGTAGGGCAGTGTCAGATGAAGCACCCTCAGTTCCTTCTCAACTGCCTCAGCATGAGACAGCATCTTTTGGTGCCTGCTTCATAATTAGCTGTCTCTTAGGGAATAGCTTCTAGATTTTACATGTTATTTAGGTCTTAGTTACCCCCTGTTAATGTTTAATCTAGTTACAGTAGTTGAAGTTTTTGTTGAGACTTCTTCAAGAGACTCCTTTGTGGTGGTGCAGGGAGAAGTGGACCTGGGCCTGCCTTTCTTTGACGGAATTAATTTTCTGGTTATGCCTTGCTTATGTTACCTAGATTTAAAGGTTGCCTCACTTGCCGGGAGTCCATCTGAGTTAATGATGGTCACTCTCACTGTATCTGCTGCTTAGGAGACACCAACATCCCACCTAAGTAAATTTGTTTGAGGCTTGAGTAAGTCTAGATGAGTCAGGGAGATTAATCTTAGGCTTCTCATGATGGAGTGCTCCCTTCGACCTGCCTCAGACTCAGAAACCCCCTGGTAGAGCGATCTTCCAGTGAGCACAGTGCCCCATTGATCTTTGCCGCCTACTCACCCACTAGATCTTTGCGAGCGAGAACCACAGGCTAGTACCAAGACTTCCAGAAGGATGAGCTCCAGATTGCCTTGAACAGAAGCCAGGGACAAAAAGCCTAGGTCACCACACAGACCTGCTGTTTCAGTGACTTCATGTCCCAGAAAACGTACCACTGAGGCTCAAAGGTCTCCTCTTATCAAGGCCCCCTCATCTAAATCTGCAGGAACCTTAAAGTCCCAGTATTCTTCGGTACCATCCATGGTTGTGGTGCTAACGATCCAAAAGACTCTGTCAAAGAGGTCAGTATTGAACATGGGTCCTGCTTCTAAGTTGCCTGCAGTACTCCAAGTTGATGTCTCAAGCTGATCGACCGGCATCATCAAAGCCAAGGTCATCCTCTGTACCACCACCACTCTGTGGAGTCTTGCCGGGTTTCTGCATAGATTCACTCAACCAGTACTGCAGGAGTTCAGATTCTGCCGTGGCTTGTGTGTCTCAGGTGAACGAGCGTCTCCTCTACTAATGGGTGCAGAAGGACTGTCAGTACTGGAGCCTCATGTGTCACTGGTACTGCCTGGCTTCCACGACCCACTAAAAGAGATAAGCAACCTCCCTCAAGGTCATATCTGTCTGCTCCTTCCTTGGACTGTGAAGAATATAGTTCCTCGGACTCTCAAATTTCTATCAGAGGCTTGCTCGATTAGCAGCCCAGAGCTGCCTCTCTTGATGTTTTTTCTGAGAGAGAAGCCAAACTCCTCGTTCCTCTTGTATGATCAATCCTGGATGCCTCCTCCTTTTCCTTATGGCCTCCTTCAGTGGTCCTATTGGGACCAGTGGGCTGCTTATAGACAGTTCTCTAGAGTACCCAGTTACACCCATGGAAGAGTATCGGACAACCACCACCTACTTCTCTTGTCCCTCCAAATCAATCTCTATCCCAGGAGGAATCTTTCAAGGAACAGGAGAGAAAAGCTGATGAGGACGCTACTTACTAGTCTAACATTTTTCTCCTCACCTGAGGAGACAGTGATGCTTCCCTCCCCCCCCCCCCCATGCTGATGATTAAACAAGTCCAAGAGGTCAGAAGAGAATTGCTGACTCCCTTTAAAGGGATTTGGAAGAGAGTTCATGAGATTAGCACAACCTCTTGGACATCCTCCAATCTGCCACTTCTGTTTGGGAAGCCTTACCTGTAAACAAGGCTTTGCTTGAACCTGCCAGAACAATTTAGTAATCCCCAGTTGCCATTTCTCCAACTTATAAGAGGATGGAAAAAAAATATGTTCCTGCTCAAGGCACTGAGTTTTTGTTCATTCACGCAGCCCCCAGCTCCTTGGTGGTGGATTTTGTGAACAAAGCTGCTACACATAAGGACCACAAATGCCTAGACCTCTTTGGCCACAAAAGTTACTGTTCAGCTTCGTTGCAATTTAGAATCTCCAATTATCAAGCCCTGATAGCAAAATATAACCACACCAACTAAGGAAAAATAAATTTTTATTGATCTGCCTCAGGAACGAGAGCAATTTCAAGCGATCATCACGGAAGGTCACTTGTTAGCCAGAACTTAGGTACAGGCCTCCCTAGACATGACCCACATGATAATCAGATCTGTTTCTACAGTAATTGTCTTGCATCCTGCCTGCTGGATGTGATCCTCAGGAATCCAGAGGGAAGTCCAAAATACTGTAGAGACCTTCCTTTTGATGGGCTCAAGCTCTTCAGTGAGTGCACCAATGAATCCTAGCGAGAATGCAAGGATTCAAGGGCTATTCTTTGCTTCCTCAGCACCTACACACCTGCAAATAAAAGGAGATTCAGCAGTCATAGATGGTGCAGAGATCCTGCCCAGCCTAGTTCCCTGCTTATCACAGGCCTTGGGAACTGCCTAAGAGGAGACTTGGCTTCCCAAAGAGAGAAGTTTGCCACCACAACTACCATAACTCATGCTTCTTTGTCAGCCAAGAGTCCATTTTGATTTGGGTCAAGAACTGTCCTCCCTTCAGGATGTGAAGCTGTATTATTTTGCCTCCTCCCTCCCACTGTTGCAGATTCTCTCTCCCATCTCTGATCCGTATGGGAGCAGTTTATTTCTGACAGATGTGTTTTGGAGGTCGTAACATTGGACTAGTCTATGCATTTCATCTCCACTCTCCCCATCCTTTCTCAGGGTCCCATCTCATGAATATCTACTGAGACAGTTCTATCCCTTTTCCACATGGGCAGATACTGGTTCTACATCTCTTAACACAGAGGGGAGAGGGGTCTAGTCAAAGTACTTTCTGGTTCCCAAAAAGAAAGGTAGATGGAGCCCCATCTTAGATCTCAGATTGTTAATCACTTCCTGAAAAACACAAGTTCAGGATGGTGACACGTGCAGCTATAAAACTATCTCTTGAGCTGGAAGATGGGTTCTCAGCTGTTGACTTACAGGATGTGTATTTTGATATCATGATGCATCCTTTTCGCAAGAAGTTTCTGCACTATGTGGTTGGCTGGGAGCACTTCCAATATTGAGTGCTCCTTTTTGGACTTTACTGCCCCCAGAGGATTTATGATGGTTCTGGCAATGGTAGGTGTTCAATTGCAGTGATAAGCAGTTGGCTCCTCAAGGGCCACTTTCACAACAAAGTTTTTTGCAGTGAGGAAGGCTAAGGCTTCAGCTCAACAAGGAGAAGTCTACTTTGATATCTCTTTAGTGAATAGAGTTTATACAAGCCACATTAGATGCCAAAGCATCCAGAGTTTACCTACTGATGGACGGGCTTATGGCATTAACGAATCTGATCTTGCAGGTTCAAATGAGACTGCAAACAATGGCAAGAACTTGTCTGCAGCTCCTAGGTCATTTGGCAGTCTGCACCTTTGTCATGCCATGGTTGCACGTACACTACTTCCAGGGATGGTTGAGAATGGTTTACACCCCCAACAAAGTCTGAACAAACTAGTGTCATTCCCTCATCAGGTTCTAGATTTGCTTAGAGGAAAGACCCAGGCAAGGTCTGTGCTGAAGTTCCTTTTACTCTGTCTCCCTCCACCACAGCATCAGATACATCTCTAGTGGGATCCAGGAGCTCATCTTCAAATGCATAACATGAAGGCAAATGGATCACCCTAGAATCCACTCTGCATATCAACCTTTTGGAGCGTAAATGGGTCAGATTTGTGTGCAAACACTTCCTTCCCATGATCAAGGACCAGTCCGTCAAGATCATGACAGATGACAGAGCCAGCATATGCTATATAAATTTGCCAAGAAAGAGGAAGATCTCCCTGTCTTTGTGTGGATGTGTTAAAACTATAGAACTAGTGCATAGCCAATCAGACTCATATCTCAGCCTCATACTTACTGGGTCTTCAGAACACCATAGCAGACTGCTTGAGCAGATGCTTCTGCCAGGATCAGGCGTGGGAAACCAACAATCTGATTCTCAACTGTATATTGCTTACTTGGCTTTTTCTGGAAATAACCACTGCCAATAAACAAAGTGTCGGAAATTCTGCTGCGGGTTGGGGTGGGCTAAGACCTCAATCTCAGGTAGTTGCCTTCCTCATTTCCTTGTTGAGGAACCTCCTCTACACCTATTCGCCACTGCTCATCAGAGTCCTAACAGAATTAAGCAGGACATAGCCAAGGTCATCCTAATTGCACCGACTTGGTCAAGGCAAATTTGGCTTCCCTACCTGATTTGCCTCACATCTTGCTCGGCACTACAGCTACTGTGACTATTCACGAGCTGATAACTCAAGATTCTGGGCATGTTCTTCACCCCAGTTTGAACACACTGCAGCTCAGTGCTTGGTTTCTAGATATTTCTCTGGGTTAGAAGTTCGAGACAGGTACAAAAGGTTTTGTTGAGTAACAGAAAAACACAAGCTACAAAAACTTACCTAGAGAGAGGTTCCATTATTGGTGAATTTTGTCCCTTGTTGATTCTTCCCTTTTTGGTTGTGTTTCCTGTGGAGTTTAAAGAATTCAGGTCTCTGAGTTCTGTTAAAGTTGATTTAGCAGCTATCAGAGCGTTCCATTCTTCTGTTGAAGGGTTTTTAGTGTTTGCTCACTCCACATCTTCCAGATTCATCAAAGGGTTAGCTAACCTTTCCCCATATGTCAGAGAACCCACTCTTGCATGGGACTGGAACTTGGTCCTCAACTTTTTCTTGAAACCTCCCTTGAGCCATTAGCTGAGTGTTCCCTTTTACACTTGTCTGTGAAAGCTGCATTTTTAGTGGCTATATCTGCTTAGAGAATTGGCCCATCTCGCCCTACACAGTTTTCCATAAAGTATCTCTGGCCACATAGCTGACTTTTACCCAAGGTAACCTTGGACTCTGATATCGATCAGATCATTTACCTACCAGTTTTTACCCTAATCTTCATCTGACAAAGGAGGAGGCAGCCCTTCATGCTTTAGACATGAGGAGAGAATTGAGTTTTTATTTGGAAAGGACAAAATCCTTTAGGGGCCCCTCTTTCTACCCAAAGACTCTCTAAGTGGATTTCTGGTTGTATCCCCTCCTTCTGTGAGGCTGCTAATGTTAAGTCTCCTTTTAGGGTTATAGCCCATTCCACTAGATTCCAATCTGCTTCCATAGCTCTGTCGAGAAAGGTGGTTCTTGAAGAAATATGCAAAACTGCCACATGGTGTTTATAAACATTAAAAGTCTTAGACCAGGCTCTAAAGTATCCATCTCCTTTAGGGAATAGTGCTCGAGAGTTAAGTGAAGTTACTCCTGGAGGAATTCTGTGCATAGAATTTCATCCCCCTCCCCCAGACTGGCTCCCCAGCTCATACTGTGCAGGCAGGCTGCAGTTCCTGGGTTTGACAGCTCTGCTTGGTCACATGGTGCAGGCGGGCCCCCTTCCTCCATGGCAGCTGTTGGAGCCTGCAAGCTGCACCCTACAGGGACAGGCAGGAGCAACAGCTGGGAGCTGCAGGGAGGGGCCACTGCTTTCCGGGAGGGGAGACTGAGGATCTGGGTGCAAGCCTGCAGGGGAGAAGTGTGATTCCAGGGGCGGCTGAACCTTTGAATTGTGCTCTGCCCCTCCCCCCCATCAGCAGGTACGAGTCATCTCTGCCCCGCAGGATGGTAATGAAGCTGCGTGGAGCGGAGCCTGCAGCTGGGCTCTGGGGGCAGTGTTTGCACTTGTCTGGATCGGGGACCCTATGCAGCCTACTCCAGCACCCCCAAATACCTTCTCCAAGTACACATCCACACCCCTCCAGCTCCCCCCAAATATCCTCTACAGCTCCCCCTCCCTCCTGCAGTGTCCTCTATTTGGGGACTTGAAATATGGTAACCCTGAGGAAGTAGGGTGAAAAAATGAGAATCGACTAAAAGATCAGAGGGGCAGAGTTCCCCCCCAAGATGTGCCCTGCTGGCACATGTAACACCCAGACTGAAGGGCCTGACAAAAGCATAACAGAGAAACAGGAATCAGGTTGTTGTAGCGGTTTCTTTAACTCTCTACTCATGGGAGAATCTTTTTTGTTGTCTGTATTGTTACAGACATACTTGCTGACAGGTGTTTTGAAATAAATTACCAGAATAATTGAAACTGGTGTGATTATATTGTGGTGTTTTGACAAATAAAATATACAGAATTTTGCAGAATTTTTAACTTTTTGGTGTGGCATTTCCCCCAGGAGTATGAAGTGGAGTACCCAAGGGTTATTGGGATTTGAATAACTTTCTAACACTGAGTATTTGATCTGGATAAAGAAAATTGCTGTTAAAGTCCAGATAATTCCGTCTCCTCCTCGTTGTCCCCAAATACAAAACCCCTTGTGTTAATTTTGTCCTTATTTTGTAACAGAGGACATTCTCCCATATCTACACTTTTTCAGAGAAGTGAAGTTAATGAATTGACTTCAGTAAACTATGTAGTTGTGATGCACCTGGTGCCAAGCTGTTTTATCTTCCATTAGTTTGAAGGCGTTTAGCATTTGGACTGGGTAAGGCAAAACCCTGGAGTAGTTCAAAATAGAACACAGCAGATGACCCTAGGAGGAGGAATTGGAAAACAAAGATTTAGATCAGTCCAGTGGCGTGTTCTGCTGTGTAACTAGTCAATCCAGTGTGAGACTGGTCCTCAGATATTTCAGACTAATACTTTGATGGGTCTAAAAATACATGAATTGAACAGGCCATGTTTTATTGTAGCTCAGTTTAGTTGAATTATTGCTTGTGATCGCTCTTCATTCCTGCACTTTAGAAGTTGGATAGGAGGTTAAAGAAAGTGGTGAGTTCAAGTAATGATGGCATTATAGAAAGCAGACTGGGTGCAGCAGTGGGAGAAAGTGTTTGTCTCAAGTGGGAGAAAAAGAAACGCAAAAACTTCTTTAACTTTCTCTTCCCTGCCACCCTCCTTTTTCTCAATTTCAGCATCACAGGATGCAGACAGCAGTGCAACGACTACCACTGCAGGAGCTGGAGTTTTTAAGATGGGACGATTTCAGGTAGGAAAATGTTACTTTGTAGATTCACTCTGTGACCTGGGCATTGATCCAGGAATCTCACTTTGTTATGGCAAAGCAGTAGGGCCCAGATTTTTCAAGGTATTTAGGGCATTGCTCCACTCAGCGTTGCAATGCTCAACTGATTTTGGAGCCTAAATCTCATTTTCAAAAGTGGTTTAGGCACATAGATGCCTAAAACCCGTTGGCTTCGATTGGATTTAGGCTCCTAAGTGTCTAAACCACTTTTGAAAAGGAGATTTAGTTTCCTGAATCAGTGGGGCGTTGCAACGGTGAATGAAGCAGTGCCTAAATACCTCGAAAAATCTGGGCCGCCTTGATTGGTACCAGCTCCTGGCACAGCATTTTACTGGGAGGAATTGCCACTGTCGAGTTTGACAGGAATTCATTTTTCTATTCATGAACTCGACTCCCAATCAGGGTTAACATCACACTTTATTGCAGCATTTTCTGGTTTGTGACCTTGGCATTCTGAGACAACTGAAGCCTTGAAATAAGTCTGAACTATGCATTGACTTTGCTATTAGTAGTCCAGATCTTTAATGTTAGCCACATTATGGCTAATGTGACATT